AGCCTTCAGGAAACATTTCCTGAGTGTCCCCATGTGTCAGCCACTGGATATGCCAGTTAATCTGCCAAGGGAGAGACTGTCTTGCAGGGATCCCACTTCACCCCCACCCGTGAGTCCTCACAACCCCCAAACACACACACACTGGTCTTTCTTCATCCTTGGTCCTCCAACCTAGGCCTCCAATGCTTTTCTCTCCAGGGCTTCTCAGGGCAACAACGGGTTAACTCAGTTACACTGTGGTATAAATATCTGAGAACAAACTACTTTCACTCATTCCAGAGATGGCTGCTTTTCATGATCTAGCAACACCGTGTGTGAAAGAAGGGAGGCCTGCATGGCAGGACATAAGGCAATCACCCCTCCAAATATCCTCTCCAATGTCTCCCCAGGTCAGGGACTCCAGGTTTAAGAAAGGCGAGTCCCAAATATATGTAACTGGGGGATGATGAACGTGAACTACACTAGTGACCATTTTGTACTATATATTTATATCAAATTATTATCTTGCACACATAAAAATAATAGTGTTAGATACCAATTGCAGCTCCCTAAAAAAAAAAAAAAAAAAAAAAGACTCCAGGCAAGTGTAAGGGAATAATTACAATTTATTGATTTATGTGAACATCCTAAATTATCGAATATTTTAACCGCTTAGTTACTCTATTTCCAACATGTCTTTGCTGTCGGTGGAATGTCTCCCAGATTCAGATGCTAAAACCTCTCACTTGATGGAGTTGGCAGGTGGGGTCTCTGTGAGGTGCTTTGATGGGGGAGCCATCCAGAATGGGACTAGAACATGAATACATGCATGATTAGAGAGAACAAACAAGCTTCCTGACCCTTCTACCCTGAGAAGACAGAGAGCTTGTAGTTTGCAAACACAACAAAGCTTTGCCAGAACTTGACAGTGCTGGCACACTCATCTTGGATTTCCAGCCTCCAGACACCTGTTTCTCTGGAAACACCTCTCCTGTCAAGTTTGCTGGGACAAGGAGTGGTTGCTGCTTCAGATAAGCATGTGCCCTCCCTTTTGGAAGGTCCCTACCTTGACCTGTGACTTCACCTCTGACCTGTGAAGGTGTTTTGGTGAGAGTATTAATACATTTCATTGGAGCCATAAAAACTTATGGTAACTTTTCCATGCCAGTCCTTAATCTAGGCATGGGGGAGATAGAAATGACAAGGACCAAGGGTCCTGTTTGGATGCATTTTCTATTTTGATAGAAGAGACAGATAGTTTTAAAAAGTAGATACACTAATATTTAAGATGTTGGTGGTGGTAATGGCTTTGCAGAGCACACAGCAGGGTAAGGCTCACAGAAGGTAGGCGCTGGGCTTGGGACAGGCGAGACACCATCTATTTCATTTTTTATGTTTTTTTAGTTTTTGCATAGAAAAACTGGGGTGTGGGCTAGAGTTGGAGGGAGGGGGGAGAGGATTCACCAAGACAGAGTGGGGAGCAGAACAAGTGAATTTATAGACATACACTGCTCAGGGGAGCATCAGGAGGGACAGGAGAGGTCTGCTGTTCCATGTGGGTCAGCTCCCTGGCCTGGAATCGAATTTAGGCTGTAGCTGTGATGCTGCTGAGACTTAACCCCTAGGCCAGCAGGAAGGCCAAGATACCATCTTTAGTAAGAGGTTTCTAGAAGGTCTGCTTTAAGGTGGTATTAGGTAGATAGTGAGGGTCTTCACAAAGCCAGAAGGAGAGGATTCAACTTTAAGCTGACAACTTTCAGACTTGGGAGACAAGGATAAGCAGATAAGCCTTCCTGGAACAGTCCAGGATTACATGTAGTGGCCCACATACCGAGAATTCTCATATGGTCATGTATTTGAACTTGTGCTGAAGTAGTTGCAGACAGCTTCACAGTGCTGATGCTAACCCCTTGGGCCACCAGGGAGGCCCTACTCTGAAATAGTCTTTAGTGGGCTTTCCATGTGTTCTGTATCCAGATATTACTAGTTATTGTTCTAAGTATTTCATAAAACTATAAAGCTACGGCAATTTAAGGGCGTAATCCAGAGACCTAACCAAAAAGGGAAAGAGACATAATTACCTTAGGATTGTATTCATTTGGGATAGAAGTCTATAAACTAGTTAGACATACATGGATTTTCCATCCCGTCTGTCCATCCATCCATCCATCCATCCATCCATCCATCCATGTATCCATTCACCTACCCTGTACCAGGCTTTTTATTTGGTCGTATTTTCTCAATAGTATTACAAAACTCTTTTAGGGAGAAGCTTAATAGATTTATAGATGTCTAGGGAAGCTATCTGTACAGCATGGGCCACTACAAAAACCCACAAGTGACTAAAAACTGGTACAGATACCAAATACCTATGAAGGAAACCTTGTGAAAAGTCAACATACCTTTGAAATGCAAGCACAGATTTCTTTATTATCTCCAGTGACCTGTCAACTAGTTATCAGTGAACTTGCAAAAAAGCAATCATTCATTTGAAATAGCCAATGACTTCACTAATTGCCCATGGCACTAACTGTACTTCTCTGTCATGAACAGGACCGTTAGCCAAAGCACCATTAAACAGTTTATACTGCATAGCGATACCTCATAATCTTTGGTAAATTTTCTTTTTACATGTTTTTTTTTTTTTTTTTTAAGATTTATTTATTTATACAAGAACCAGGGTATAGGCCAGATGTGCGGGAGGGTGAGAGGATTCACCAGAGACAGAGCGGGGAACAGAATAGGCAGACTGATGAAATACACTGCTGAGGGGAGCAGCAGGAGTGACAGGAGAAGTCTGCTGTGCCATGTGGGACCCTCACCAGCCAGCCGAGATTGAACAGGCGCTACAGAAGCTGCGGACAGCTTCACAGCACTGCGCTCAACCACCTGCGCCACCAGGGGTGGCCCTTACATGTTAGAGCTTGCTTAATTCCTACAATCTTGCAGGATAAGTAATATGATTCCTTAATTCAAAGGAATAAGGTCATAATCCGGAGACTGAAGTTTAGAGGCAAAAAATAACTTGCTCAAAATCGTATAATTAGTACTGTACAGATGCCTCGCTCCATTGAGGAAGGAGCCCTCACTGAAGCCAGGGATGGTACCATTTACCCTGCGGTCACCTCGGCACTGCCAGCCTCTCAGACCCCTGGACTGCAGTGCCATCAACTGGACTTCCTTGTTGATTGAATATGCGATATGTTCAAATATACATTTATTTACAAAGTTCATTCCTTAATAGATGCTTGAAAACATGTTTTCTTTGAAAGCTCTGGAATATTCATGTTCTTTTACTAATTCTTTTTAATCATAGTATCTGATCTATGATCAGTGAGAAGGGAAAGTGTAAGTGTGTTAACAACTGGTCCTGGTTCTCAAAACTGAGCTTAAACTGCATATGGATACCCCAAGGATCTGGCTGGAATGCAGATTCCTGAGTAGGTCTCGGGCAGAGTCTGAGAATCTGTATTTCCAACAAGCTCCCAGGGGATGCTGGACTCACTATGCATGCACTTGGTGTTGCAAGATTTTAAATATTGACATGGCAAGCAGTGCTAGAGAATCTTCTGATTTGTAGAACTTTGAAGAATTCATAAGGATCACATTGCTTCAGAAATCAATTATCCTTAGGCTGTTAATATTTGTCTCCTTGCTGATGACACAGATTAAATTGGTGCCCACCACAATTCTTACCCGACCAACTGTTTGCTGGAAAAGGGCCTGAAAGATGACAAGCCAGGCGGAAGGGTGTGCTCCTTGGAAGCCAAAAGGCAACCGGAGTAGCTGGTAACAGAGGATTTCAGGTGATGCAGGGTTGTCAGCCAGTGGCCCTCTTAGGGGACATCACAGTCTTTTTTCATAGAAAGTTCTTGGTTTCCTTGAGTTTTAAACCATGAGAATCCACTGAACCCAGCTCTTTGTTTTGGAGCCTATTTGGCATACTTCATAAACACAGATGTATGATGGTTTATGGAAATTTACTTCGAGAAAAAGTTCAGGGCAGAGCCTAAAGCTGTGAATGCATTAACTGCTAACACTTAAAAGAGGTGAGCAGCACTCTGAGAAGAAATAAAGAGGAAACGCACATTTGAACCTTGTATGCCAGTGGGGACACCACAGATGTGCAGTTTTACTCATAGGACAATGGCAGTGCCCTCTGTTACTCCCCTGGAGTAACAGGGAGGGGGTTGGGTTCTAACTAACAGTGAGAACCAGGAATGTCTATCAGATTGATGACTTCAGGAAAGGTCATCAAAATCCCAGGTTCTAGAAAGATCAAGCTTTAAGAATGGCGGAGTGACTGACAGCATATCCAACTTGGAATAGGATTTGTGATCCTGATAAACACTTCTGTCCAATAAAGTACTGAAGGGTGGAGGCTCATTCTTAACGGTAATTTATATCTCTAGCTTATCTGTAAGCCTAATACTTGTAACTTCTCAGAGAATTAAAAAAGTAAGTCTGATACTTGGGATTGTTTCTCTCTCTAATGAAAGTCACAAGGCAAGTAACAGTGTTGTGATACTTCCTTTCAGTTACAGAGCACTTAGGTGACTTTACAGAGCACTTAGGTCTACAATAAAGACCTTTAATCAGATTGTCTGTTTTCCAAAGTGAACTCTGGGAATAACAGGGTAGATGCATGTTGATTCTTAACTCATGATCACTTAAATTTTGAACATTTGGTGTATTTTAGATGGCAGGAAACCAGGGACAAGCTTAATAAACTGGCCCTAAATAATTTCCATATTGAAAGGAGATATTTGTATATCATTTAATTTTGTTGCCAAATTAATCAAGGGCAGTTTTATATGTTGAGTAAGCCTTTATGTGAAGAGTGTCAGCTTCCTAACTGATTATTTAATTTAATTTTTTATTAGTGTTCCAGCTTCAAAACAAACATGAATTGTATTTTGTATTGAGGTCAAGTTAGTAGAGTCAATTCTTAGCCTGTTTTCTCATTTTCCCATTGCCATAAAAAACTTCAAAAGAAAAGCAAACTGAGCAGGTTAGAAGCAACCACATTTTAATCAAAAATTTGAATATTTGTTAACCAGTTAAGGCTGAATAAAATAGCAATTTATCCAAAATTCAAAAGACATACCACCTTGAAAACAAAGTAAAAAATCTTGCCATTAAGTTTCACCCATTTACAGGACCACCCAACAGCCCCTAGAATGGTTCTAGCTCCTGTGGAGAACACAGGGAACCACACCTCTTCAAAACCCTGAGTGACAACTCCTTCTATTTATTTGGCTTCTCTTCTATCATCTATGTAAGTCAATTACTCTATTAAGTTCCTTCGACTGAAACACCAAGAATGGGCCTGTTTTCCTACATGGATCCTGACTCATACATATTTGAATCCTTACATTTCTCCCTGTTCCCCCAACTTATCTGGGAATTTGTGCATGAGACGCTTCCCGAAGTCAACAAAAAAAGGACTCAAATCACACTCAATAACCACCTTTTGCACTACAGGTAAACACAAGCTATTTTCTGTGACACCCTGGTGTTCTTTGCCTGGTACGAATATGACTCTGAAACTGTATACCATTGTCATCACCAATCACGGTGGACACCACCAAGAGTCATCTGCAGAGGTTATGTTTGTTGTAGTAAGTGGGACAACAAGGAGAAGGAAATACAAGAAAATTATAACATCATCAAACATACAACTTGTTAAAAAAAAAAAAAAAAGACTAAAACCCAAACACACAAAGCACCATGAAGTTTTTTTCCTTGTTGAATCAACACATTTCCCTAAAATTAAAACCTAAATAAATTCATTCGTGAGCTCCACTTCAATTTTGAACACCTTAGCATTTCCAGATATTTCCTAAAAGTCTGATTTGTCGACAAATGATCCGTTGATTCTCAGCAGCCGTGCTTCAAGCGGTTACTTGTGGAAGTAGAGCTCCTTGGTGAGCATGGAGACTATACATGGGATCTGCTTCTTCTCACTCATGTCTGGGTTGTCGGTCCTGGACTGGTAGTCCCTGGCCACTGTGTAGTTGACCCTGGTTAGCATTTGCATGAGCTCCAGGCTTTTCCCGTGTTCGTTCAGGACTTTGCAGAGGGCCTGTATGAACCAGGAGCCAGTTCCTGGGCTCCGCCATGAGTAGTAGCCTTCAATGGGAGAGAAGACAGACAAGGACCAGCTGACTCATGACCAGAACAAGCTCTGGATTGAAATCATCCACCCTATTCTGCCTGCAGCGTGAGAATTAAGCTGATAGGCTTGAAAGCAAACCTCTCAGACTTACAGGGCTTTGTGGAGACATTCCTTAAAACTTGTGAAGTCAACATTGTCAGAAAATACATCTGTAGATCTGACCAGAGTTGTTTTTCCAAACACACTGCATCTTTCTTTATAACCAATACCTCTGTGTCTAGTATTTGATAAGCAGCTACTGTAGCTGGGAGGATTCTTACTCGGTGATGGGATTTGTGCAAAACACAGGAGGGATTTTCATTCAACTGACTCAGGCTTAGTAAGAACAACCTTAGTAATAATGAGCAGACCTGCTTGTGCCTAGTATGCTGGGGGGCCAGTTTACAGGTCGAGTGTAAAGGAATCCAGGGCTTAGCCATAACTCCACTGTGACCCGAAATCTCTGCCTGACCTTGATGCGTTACTTAAACTCAATTTTTTTTTCCCACCTGTAAAATTAGGACAGTAAAAACACCTTTCCCGACTACCAATTATTACAAGGATGAGATGTGGTAAAAGGCATAAAAACACTATACATTGCAAAAGGTTATAGAAAGATTTGTCTGTATGATTTCCAATAATATTAACAGTGAGAGAATCCAGCTTTCTCAAAGCAGACACGCTCCGCATCAGGCACCCTGATGGCCCAGAGATCCAGGCCCTGACCCTGCACCTGTGAGCATGTTCCCCGACGAGGCTAAAGGGACTTTGTAGATGTGGCCCAGGCAATGGGAAGGAGATGGGAGGTTGTTCTGGATTACCCAGCCGACCCACAGTAATCCCAGGAGTCCTTAAAAGAGGAGAGTCTTTCCCAACTGTGGTCTGGAGATCTGCACCCACGGAAGGGGTCAGAGATGTGAAGCTGCTGACTTTAAATGGAGGGAGGTGGCCACCAGCCCAGGAAGGCAGAGGGGTCAAACACAGTGCTGAAGCCAAGGATGTGGACTTCCCCACATCCTCTGAAGGAAGGGAGCCTGGCAACCCATTTGGAAGTCTGACCTCCAGGAGGGCGAGCTAATGGACTTGTGGTTTAAGTTACTATTTGGGGTTGTTAAGACAGTCCCCAGCCTGCGTGTGGGCGGTGGAACTGTGAGACACAGAGCAGAGCAGACAGCGGGGCTGATACCTGGAGCGGTGGAATAGGCGAAGAGAAAGTCGGCTTCGACTGGGACCTTGTAGTGCTGCTGAGCATCCGTTTCATTGACAAACCCTGAATCGGCCTGGATGCCGTGGTCCAGCTCCGTCCCCCGGCAAGCCTAAGTGTCAAAGCAGAGGTCACGCCATGGAGCCGGGAACAGAAATGTGTGTGCTGCTCACACACATGTGAGCACAGAGCCCCCAAAATGGTGCCTGGCATGTTCTAGCAGCTCAGGGATAATCTGATGAATGAATCTGTGCCAATTTACTAGGTGATGCAGGTAAATTTTGCAGCATCTTAAAACCCTCATAATCTGTTATCTGGTGCAAATGCAGATGCCAAGCATTTACAGAGAAACCCAAAGCCCAGAACTGCATACCCATATGCAAGTCACTTGCACTCCCCTCCCATTTGCAATTGTATTGGCTTTGAAAAGTGATGGATTACCTGAATGAAGAAGAGCTTGGGTTTCTCTAAGAGGGTTTTGCATCTATCTCCTCTGAAAGGGGCTGCCAACTCCTTTATTGATGTCAAGCCATCAGTTCCATAAATTAAACCATCATCTTCTCCATGGCTCAGTAAGATGCAGGCGAAGCAGGCTGAATTTTTGTGGTCCTGTTCAGAAACTGCAAGCCAGAGATGTGGACATTGAAAAGCTAAAATCTACACCCTGCGGGAGCTCAGCTGTAATATCCCCTGCCAGTCTGGAAGCTGACACTGACTCTGGGAGGGGATGGGAGGGGGTTGGAGGAGCACCCCTCTGGAGAGAAGGCAGACCCGTGGGAAGAAGTTAGAAAGGGAGAGTTCTAGAATTCGTGTGGAGGTGCGGGATGGGTTCAGATGCTGGGAGCCAACACCCTGGCACGCTCTGAGCTTGGCTCTGCTGTCTGGCAGGTGTGACACAGGGTGACTGAGGCCTGTGTGTCTTGCTCTGCTGTATGGACTTGCCTTGGAACCCAGTACCTATGAAATGGGATACTATTTGCACAGAGGCCCGGCACGCATCACACAAGTATTGATAAAGAAAACAGAATTTTGTGCTGAATGAAAGAAGCCAGTCACTAAAGGATAAACTCTTTATGATCCCAGTCTCTGAGGCAGCCTTTCACGGTCAAGGTCACAGGGGCAGACAGGAGAGTGGAGGCGGCCAGGGGTGGGGAAGGGGAACTGGGGAACTGAGTTTAAAAGGGACAGAGTTTCAGTTCTGTAAGATGAAGAAAGCTCTGGAGTGGGAAGATGGGGAAACGGCCACACACAGCCCGAATGTGCTTAATGTCGTGAAGCTGTGCGCGTGAAGGTAAGGTGGTACACCTGGCGTTCTGTGATGTGACTGCCATTTAAAAGGTAAAACATAAAATTATAAAGGAAAGAGTTTCACAAAAATTCCAGCCAATGCCAGACTGGCTGTTGCTTTGGATCCTGAGGAGAGGAACCATGAAGGGCTTCATGGTCGGTTCAGTTCAAACTCATCTAAGGTCTGGGATTCTTTCTAACTAGCTGGCAAGCTGCTCACGGGTATAACCCTCCCTTCTTCTTCTCTTGATCAATGATGGCGTGAAGTAAGACACAGAAGTCTGTGAGCACCTACTATGTGCCGACAGACATCTGGACACTTTGCGTGAGTTCTCTTATTTATTTATTTAATTTATTTTTTTTGTGGGACCCTCGCCGGCGGCCAGGGATCGAACCGGCATTGCAGAGGCTGCGGGCAGCTTCGCAACCCAGCGCTCAACCGCTGCGCCACCAGGGGAGGCCCGAGTTCTCTTATTAAATCCCTGCAAGAGCCCCGTAAAGAAGGCCTCATTGATCTTTGTATCACTGATAACAGATAGAATCTTGGAGAGTCCCTTGACTTTGCCCAAAGGGCATGTGGGAGCCTTGGAGCCAGGTGAGCCCGGTGTGGCCCCTCCCATTCCAGTCACTGTGGCACCTTTGCATCTACCTGTACGAGGATTCTGGGTTGGTTCTGCCAACAGAAGTCCAAGATGCTGGAATTCTTTTACTGCATAGTTTATGTTCAGCTCAGACAAATTATGACAGAGCTAGAAAGTGTGAGTTTTGCCTTCACTGGAACTGTTTGCAGGGACAGTCATGAAAAACAGCCACTTGACTATTGTTATAGGACGAGTGAGAATTCCGTGCTGGTGACATGCACAGGCATGGACTGGATGACTCACTTTTTCTAAGAACAGTGACTCCAGCTGAGGCACGTGCTTCCATCGGCCCACTGCACTTCTCAAAGCCGGCTGGCTCGCCACTCCTCACCCTAGCCCCAGGACACAGGAGGCGCAAGTATCAGGCAGGACCCACACTGAAGCTGACCTGCCTGCGTGGCCAGTGTCAGAGCTTGCAGGGACCCAAAGCTGGACCCCCGACTCCCAGTCTGCTCCACCAGGTGACCCCTCAGGGTACTGAAGGTCAGGTCTCAAGGTTCATGTTTGAAGAAATTTGGAAAAGACAAGAGAATGAATGGATGAGATGGACTGATAACCAAAGTGATGGGTTTCTGAGGTTAGAAGGATGGTGGGAGAACAGGTCAGGGGTAAGTGAGGGGGAGGGGAAGACAAGCAACTCAAACAACTATTTAATTAAAAATTTAAAAATGGGTTAAATGTGATTATCTTTCACTCAATTCTGTGTGTGCTTGGCGGCACAATTCGCTTAGCTAGTGTGGATTCCAAGAGCAGCAGAAAGTGCAGGAAATTTGGTGGCCTGGATGTACTGATTTTGGAAAGCCAGCCCTGGTGCTTTAGTTATGGGACTCTAGGAGAGCTATTTGAGTTCTTGGAACTTTAGTTTTCTTTTCTGTAACCTGATTCCCACCTACAGGATGAAAGGATTCTCTCTGGGTCAAGCTTCCCAGGATGTCAACCTCAATTTATCCCCCACTGGGGAAAGGCCTTACTTGCCTAATCCTTTGTCCTCATCACTGGATATTAGTACCTGCCATGGATTTATTGAAAAATAGAGGAGGGAAAAAAAGGCAAAAATGTCTGCCTGGTTTTTAAATGATGAGAAAGGATATTGGAAGAGAGGGTTACATTCCTTTTCTAGCAGTTTATCAAAGAGCAGCTGATATTTGACTGTGGGTCCTGTCTGATGAGTTAGTAGGGTATTACTTTCAAATGCTTGCTCTAAAAGCCAGAATACCCAGATGGTGTCCAGTAGTAGTGTGGTGTAATAGAAAATACTATTGTTCTGGAATCAGGAAACCATGACTTGAGTTTTGGTTTTGTCCTTGCTAACTGTGCCTTCGGTAAATTTTCCTTATCCTCTCAAAAGCTCCGTCCTGTGTTTATAAAACAGGCAGCGCTTGTGTTCAAGGTCTAATGAAATGGTTTTGTGAACGTGCTGTATCAAAAATAGACGGTGTTGCTGAAGGCTATGGGGATGACTATTTCTCCATCGTCCACTAAGGAAAATTGGCCAAAACTGTTCTAAACAGAACAGATATAGAAAAATACAGATTTGTTACTTCCCTATGATTGAGTCTTTTGAAACTGAGAAGATTCTGTAGATACAGAACCTATTTCCTTTGCTGTCATATAAGCTGCCTTCATCTTTTTAGGGAAAAGTTAAGTTTTTTTTAGGGAAAGCTAAGTTTCCTGAAAGCGACCTGCTGGCCCCAGAGGTAGACACGGAGTGGCCAGGAGGAAGACAGGCTTCCCACACTGAAATCCCTGGGGCCATCAAAGGTGTCCTGCCAGCATCAGCCTGGCCCATCCCTCTCAGGAGCAGGGGGCAGGAAGACATGTAGGGGCGGAGGAAGAGGAGACTCACCTTCCTTCAGCACAGCTTCCATTTTGGCACGGGAGCAGTCATTATGGACAGTCACATCAAAACCCAGGTTTCGGAAGCACTTCACAAGGGCCTCAGCATCTCTGTCCGTTCCAGTTCGGCAGCCCATTTCTGAGGGAATCACATGAGAGGTCAACATGAGTAGCCCCTGCTGCCTGCTAGGAGCTGGTGTGCACAGGTCAGGAGCTCCCGGATGCACGGTGAGCAACTGAAAACAAATTCAAAGGAGTTGATAACTCAGTCCCCTCTCAAGGGTGAGCCTCAGTGTGGTCACTTGCAGCTCCAGTCAAGATCAAACAGCAATCTGGTCTTGGCCTCTGGTCCCTGTTTCACAGCAGCTAATGCACATGGCGGCCTCTCAGACTGAACATTCCCAAGTCCCTGCATGCCCTTCTCCTGGACTCAGTGAAAAACATCCTTGGAAGGGCATCTGCCACAGCATAGGGACTCAGCACTTCTCCTATGAATGTCTAATATAAGCCCAATGCAAGTTCAAGAAACTGGCAGGGAGCAGGCCACACACCTACCTGTGCAACTGTCAAAATTCTTGTTGTTTATGATGATGCACGTGCCCATCTTCTCAAAATCCATGTTATACTGACATGAAGTCTGTTGGTCCTGGGATTTCTTGATGGACGTCCTAGAGTCACTCTTCCTTTTCTTACTGGGAAAATATAAAACCAGGTAAGGACTTAGAAGATGTCTGGCCAGCAATGGTCTCTTGATTTTACTATTTGCGTGAGAGGGGAGCCCAGGAGAGTGGCAATATATTAGAAAAAAAGACCAGGGATGGACAGATGTCTCTGCGTAGTTGTCATATTTAAAAGGAATGTGCTCTCCTTTGCAATTTCATCAAATGCTAGAGACAGACTGAAGTTGCAATACAATCCCAGCACACACCCACCATGGTGGCTACCATGGGCTGGTGATCACGGTCAGACCCAGAGTCACCATGCACTGCTGGAGCCTATTTGTACATCCAACAAGAAACAATGCCCATCTCCCATCCTGGACTTCAACTTATCCCAGGACAGAGTGACTCCATTTTGACCCCCCCCCCCCAAAAAGCAACACTATTTACCAAAGACCCCACACATGTGGACAACATTATTGTTTAATGACAGTCCCAAACAGCAAATAATCCGAGTGTCCATTTACAGTAGAACAGCTAAATTATTGAATATTCATGTAATGCAATTCCATGTAACAATGTGAATGAAACTTCGGCAACACTAACCCACACTCGTGACTTTCACACACAGACTGTTGGGTCAAAGATCACATATATGAAACCGTGCACTTTCATGAAGTTCAGTAAACTCACACCTGATATTAAAAGTCAGGGTGATGGTCCCTATGGTGGGAGGGTGGGTGGCTGGGAGGGGCGTAAGGACATTCTCAGAGGGTGGTCATATTTCATTTCTTGATATGAGTATAGTACGTAAGTACGTCGGTTTGTGAAAACTCAAGTATGTGTAGTTTTCTGTAGACATGTTATAATTCAGTTATAATTATAATTCAATTATATTTACATTAGAAGGGAAAGAAAGTAATGATGATCTAAAACAGAAGGTAGGCCCCTTCCAATTTCTAGGCACTGACCATCCAGTTTATCGAAAGTCATGTATATAGGTATGGAGGCGGGCATTACTGAGAGAGAGGAGGGAAAAAATATCAAAAAAACTGGGAAGCAGCCTTGCTAGTCATCCACCTGACTGTAAGCCCCCATGAGCAAAGAGATTTTTTATCTGTCTAAAAATATCACTCAATCCCCAATACCTAGAATGTCTGGTTTATATGTTGCTCAATGAGTATTTGTTATAAACTACACACCAAAATCCCTTATGAATGCAGGTGCAAAAATTCCTTTTTTATTATTTATATTTTCTTACAACATTGTTCTCCCCTCAGTTGTAGTCCCTGAAGCTCTCCCACCACCACAGCACCTGGGATCCATCAGCATATTCCCTTGTTCTCTTCCCTTCCTTCTTTTAAACTCTCTCCCTCCCCTTGCCTTGCTAATTGCCTCATCTATGGTCAGCTTAGATACAAAAATTCTTAACAAAATATTAGTATCTATCAATAGTACTAGACACCATGTCCAAGCAAGACTGAGCTCAGGAGTACAAGGCTGGTTTAATATCCCCAAATCAGCTACTGTAATGCAGCTTATTAATAAAGGAAAAAACCATACAACCAACTAAACTGATGCAGAAAAAGCATATGGCAAAACCCAACACCCTGTTATGATCAAAACACAAAATAAACTAGGATTACAATCAATCTGAAAAGGGCATCGGTGATAAACTCACTGCTCCAGTCATACTTAATGGCAAAAATGCTTCTCCCCAAGAGCAGGGGAAAGTCAATTATGTCCACTCTTGCCAATTCTATTAAGTGTAGTAGAGAGGGTCTAGTGGAGGTAATGAGGTTTAAAAAAAATTGTTATATGATTGAATAAATCAGATCTTATGATCTCACTTTGTGGATAAGGAGACTGAGGTCCACAGAGGCAGAAGTTGTCTATGTCATCCAGGTAGCAGGACCAGCATCTGGACTAGACTCCCTGTAGGGGTGCTGAGTCCTCTGCTCTTGAGTATTCACTAGAGTGATTCTTCCCACATCCTCCCAGGGTGCTCATCCAAAGTAAAAGTGGAAGAAAAGTGAAAAGGAAACAAAGCTCATTACCTGACAAACTTGAGTCCAAGGGCATTTTACTCTTGAGTTTTTGTTAGGTCTTATCTGCTAGAGTCTCTCAATCTCTGAAAGGATGTGTCTGTCCCCCTCCTGCCTTGGTCCAGAGTACACATCAGCTCTACAGGTTGAAACTTTGGTTTCCTATGGCTAATTTTCAACTTTGCTATGACATGATTCCCCTTGTTTACAAGGCCCAGTTTCTTCCCTGATATCATTTTATTTTTAAAAGACAAACACCCTGAATCTGTTCTCGTACCTTCTGGACACCGCTCCCTGCCTTTGTTTCCTATCAGGATTTTTCTTCACATTCCTTCCCCCAGAGAGGCAGCTCAAAAGAGAACTTGGGGTAGGGGTCTGCACCCATTGCCCGTGTGGGCTGGGCTGGGGGGGGTCACTGCCCTTCACTGGCATCAACTTCCTATTCTGGAGCCTCTGCCTGGTCACACATGACAGTGAAGGCTGCTGCACACCTCAGCTGTGTCTAGGCCCACTGCCGTGTGTGGCAGGTGCATTCCCTGAGGGAAATGCTGCCTAGGCCTGGAGATGGGAGACTGGGCGGCAGCAGGTGCCTTCTCCCATGGAGTGTCCCCACTCCCAAGTCTCCTTCAAAGCTCAGCGAAGACAAAGGTCAATGAGTGTCTGCATTGCTCAAGGACATGGCGTAAGGAGTTAAGATTTATTTCCTTATTGCCACCTTGTCCATATCCCTGCTGAAGCGACCCTGTGCGCATTAAAATATCTTTGCAGTCTTTTGAAAGACGCAATCGCTGACCTTCCATAGAAGTTTCTGGGGTAGGCAGAAGGGGAACTATCATACCCATTTTATAGGTAATAATAAATGGTGCCTGGGATCCCACTTGCCTTTTCTCATTGACTCTGGACAGTCTTTAGCTAATTCAAGGCCACACAAAGTCCCTAATAAGAGAAATGTTAAATCTGGCAGGCTGAAGCCACAGTTTGTCTACTCAAGTCCTTTAAGGTACAAAATTCTTCTATCTTCTGCAATACAGGCTTATTTTAAATCTGACAATACAACAATATCTGAATAACCAAGCTGCAATGATTTTCGGGCTGCATTAGCCCATCCTCAATGATAAGCAAAACAAAACTGGCAAGAATCTTTTATAAGAAAAACAGGCTCCAATGTAAGATGCATGTAAAAGAAAAGGACTCTGTGTCTATCGAGTTAGAATTTATAAAATTACTGGTTAAAAAAAATGGAACGCAACAGGGGAATAAATAAATACACACTTGAAAGAAAATACTTTTCGTGGATATAAAAAGTAGTTTAACTTTGAATATGAAATGTGATTCTTATCTCAGCGAAGTACAGTTTCCCTTACCTGTCCTGCCCCTAAATAGAGCTCTTCTTTCTCAAGATGAACTAAATATTTGCTTTCTCTTTCTGGATTTGAGTCTGTCAATATTAATTTTCCTTCTAACCAAAATAGCTCTTTGTTACACCCAGGTCTTCTGAGGTCACAGATGCATGTCAGAGAGAGATTATTAATTCAATCCCATTGAATTCACCTTCCTAAGAGGGGCTGGCCTGGGGAAACTCCATCTGTGCTTTAACTGTGGGGAAGCAAAAACCCGAAGATCAGCTTAAAGCATGTGACGTGAGACAAATAAAAGGAGGAAGTGACTGTAGAGAAGGCATCAGGGAGAAAGCAGTGTGTGTGTGTGTGTGTGTGTGTGTGTGTGTGAAGTGGAGTAAAATCTATTGCACAGACACATCTTCTACAAGAATGAGCAGGGGAGAGGCGAGAGTCTCTCCTAATAGCTGTGGAACTTCGAGGCCCCTTCTCCCAGCAATGGTCTCCCTCTTACCCCATTCTCTCTCCCTTTGTGGCTACTGTGAGCCGGTGCCACTGCTTCCGTTTTGCCAATTCTTACTGCCAGGTTGCTGCAGAGATTAAGTACAGCCTCACCTTAAGAAAGAAGGATTGCTCTGAGCAGCAACTATTTTATTTTTTAAAGATTTGTTTATTTATGCATACAAGAGCTGGGGTACAGGCCAGACGGTTGGAGAGGATTCACCAGAGACCGAGTGGGGAGCAGAATAGGAAGACTGACTGAAATGCACTGCAGAGGGTGAGACAGGAGAGGTCTGCTGCGCCATGTGGGTCAGCTCCCTAGCCAGGGATCCAACTCATGCTTGCAGTAGTTGCAGATAGCTTCATAGCGCTGACACTTAACCCCTTGAGCCACCAGGGAGGCCCCGCAACTACTTTAAAGTAGCCCATTGCTGCTGATTCTGCAGAAACATAGGACAATTGCTGTTTGAGTATTTCTTTTGCATGTGACACCAAATACAAGTTGGCACCCTCCTCCACCACGAATTGGAAAACAGAACTTTCTTATTTGATATGATTTGATGGGTTATTGTTGGGCAGGGGACTGCTATTACCACTCATTTATATGGAAGATATTTTAAGGATTTCCTGGCCCAAAAAATAACCCACCAAATCACACCTGATAGGAATGCTCTACTTTCGGAAAGCGGGAGAAACCTGTATTTGGGAACTTTTGTGGACTGACAGACAAGTTTTCCCTTTTGCCCCCACCTCTCTCATTTCTAGTTAAAACCTTAATGGCATGTCTCAGTGAAAAACTGGGCGGGCAGACATAAGCTTATCCAAAAAGTGACCTACTCCCACCGTGACCAACAAGTCAGGTACAACGTGCAGTTCATGGCCACTTCCCAGCAGGACCATAGGAGGGGGGTGTCTTTTAATCAAATCACACAATCTTGTGAAAGAACAGAAGCTCTCCAGGTGCTGATGTGGGGTGATTTCCAATGAGTAGTGTTAGGTATGGAACAAAACAAAGGAGCAGAACAATAAGAACAGGGGCTTCCTTGTAGAGGGAAAATAAGGGGCAAATCTAGTATTTTTATATTTGCTTGTATCTGCATAAAGAAACTCTTAAAGGATTCCAGTGCTGGACTGCCTGGGTTGAATCCCT